CGTAAAATCGACATTGAGCTATTTTTCTCTACGGAAAGAGAAAGAATGCAGTGGAGAAGTGAAGGTCTATCTGCAGACGAAATGTCCATACAGAATGCTGTTATAATTCTGAAGGTAAAAGATTTTCTGATTATGGGTCTTATAACGGGGTTAGATTAGGTCCAGTGTGAGTGGGTCTATTCGACTTCCGCAGCAACCCGCAAGGGTTCATTGTGGCTCACACCTATTCACACTCGGCCAAATAAAACCCAGCTTCTTAACGAAGCCGATTAGTTCGTATGGTGAGTGGTCTTTCAGGTTAGATAACAGTGCGGCTCTGCAAAAATACATTTTCGAAAATAAAATGCCATTACTGATACTTTTTTTTCAAGGCCGATATGGTTCCTTTGTTAATTGACCCTACTTCATCAGCTACCTCTTGGATGAAACGACACTTAAGACACAAAAACGTGGAATGTACTACTCAAAACTCCCCAAAATTCAAAGGAATGCTCGAACTGGCAGTAAGGTTAGTTGTATTCAGGTAATTGATTTTTGAAGTCGCATCAAGAATTTTGCTTCAGATTTGGAAAAACTTTCATTATCGAAGAAATAGACACAATTTGCCCTACGTTGTTCCAGATTTTGAGGAAAGAATTCATCAATCAAGGTCAGTAGACATGCTTTCGTTTCAAGTTACCTGAAGGTTGAGTTTATCCTCTCTTAGATGAGTAATAAACAAGCATAAAAACTCTCAAGTAGAGAAAACCTTTGTAGCAGACATATTTTTAGGTGAAAGACGACTGATCAAGCTCAATGGTAAGTTGATAGACTACCACATCGACTTCAAACTCATCATGTGTAGTAGAGACCAGCACTTGAAGCTACCTCCGGATATTTCACCTCTTGTGAATCTCATGAATTTCACTGTCACCCATTCCGGATTGACAGGTAACGCTTCTGAAACGACTCATGAAGGTTATAAAGTAAGATCATGTTTGTAGAACAACTTCTTTCTGGTGCTGTCAGCCAGGAAAATCCCGAGTTGGAGACCAAGAAGCAACAGTTGCTGAAAGATAGAGAGGAGATGGAAGAAAAGCTGAGCCAGCTGCAGAATGAACTACTGGAAGCTTTAGTTGATTGCAAAGGAGACATACTCCAAGATTCGGTAAGATTAAACGATATCAAAAGATTCCAGTTGATCAGATAATTCTCTGCAGAAACTCCTGGAGTCCTTGAACGAGACTAAAGCCAGCTCGGAAGCTATAGCGAAGGCTTTGAAAGAGTCCAGTGAAGTACAATCGAAACTGCAATCGGAATACGACATGTATAGAGATATTTCCTACTTTGGAAGCTCACTGTATTTTGCTTGCAACGATTTTGGGAAATGCGACGTTATTTACCTTATCTCCGTTACTGCTTTCGCGGAATTGTTCTTGAAATCGCTGCGGACTTTTCAGGTAAGGAGACACAAATATTGGAGACATAGAGCGGCATTGGATAACCTCCAAACTTTTAGGGCATTGAAAGCAACTTAGATTTGCAGAAGAAGCATTTGCTTCATACTGTATACAGCTATATGAGCAGAGGAATCTTCAAATACGACAGACTCAAGTTCTTACTGCACGTGGTTCATAAAATTTACCCGAATGAGATACCAGGAGCAGAATGGCAGGTATTTTTAGGCAACACGATTTCAAATAAAAATATCCCTGATGAGTTGCCTCCGTGGGTACCGAAACACTGTGTTAATGGGGTACAAAACATACAGGTAAGTTTAATGAGGCTTCACAGGCAACCACTTAAATATTGTATGCCTGCTTTTCAGTCAGCACTGCCGGAATTCTTTAAAAGCCTTAAACTGGAAGAGTTCAACATGTGGAAAAACTTCATGAATTCCAGTATTTGTGAAACGGAAATACCGACACATTGTAAGCTATCTAATTTTCAGAAGGTGCTTGTAATACAAGCACTGCGTTCGGATAGATTGTACTCCACGATGATACAATGTGTTTTACACATAACAGGTACAGTATTGTTATGTTTTTTCCCGTAGCTTCCCCAATAATTGACTACACTGAATAACAGAACTTGACTGTATTTCACTTTGAATACAACAAACACTTCAACTAAAAATTCAACTATTATTTTAATGTCTATCGGCTTACTAGATCACCTCGCGTATCGCACTGTATCTTTCACTTGACTGTATACTTGACTGTCTGATATTCCCGCCGCCAACGCTTAAATATCGTAATAGAACATCGTAACATAGTTCTTGCTGTTTCTCGAGCGGCAGGGAACATTGGGCATTCCAGCGCTCTTAGCTACGTCACGTTTGGTTTGTGGTTGCCAGTGGCGGTCGGCGTTATTTTCATTCGGGCATGATCTACAACAGTAGCACATATTTCATCATCGCATACTGTAAGTTTTTTATCATTGGACTTATCAAATATATTCCACTCGAAGTGTATGTCCATACATACAAAATGAATTGTTGTATTTGTGATAATATATTCAACTGCATATTTTATAAGTTATATTCAATATGTTCTAAATTTTCTGTGCAATATATTTTTCCACTAAGTCGTTGATATACAATAAAAAGAGGGTTGAAGACAATATGAATCCCTGGGAAACACCAGCGTTTATGGTAAAAGTATATGAATCAAACTCAACTTTAGTTCACTAGTACACTAGTCAATACAACACAAAAACTCTATACTAATACTCAAACGTCTGTCACCTTATGAGCTCACTCCGTACTGCACTTTCAACTATACTAGCATCCTATCACCCCATGCCCCCTCCCGGGTTGAGTGCCCTGAAGTAGGAGCTTCCCCCCCATTTGTTAGCGAGGAGAACCTACTACCCCACTCCTTCCACCCCCGTTCTCCGAGCGGTCCTCAACTTACTGATGGGCACTTCAGCAAGATTGACATCTATCCTCATTTTGGTAGAAAGTCAGATTGCAGTCTGAGTATAGCATTTATGATGTTGGTTATGGCAGCTATACCCTTTCGTGGCAGCACTTTCAGTGCTCGATTTGTTATATTGTCTGGGCATGGTGCTTAGCGTCCTATGCCTGTTGGTAGGGCTTATATATCCCAATGAAAGTCTTTGAAAGCCGATAGGAATAATCTCGAAGTGACGCGACACCTAGAAAGATCGAGAAACACAAGTAGATTCAAGAGTGACCTTGGCCGAATCACAGTCGATCAACGAAGATCAGCGGCGGCCGGCCTAATTTTTTACAGGGGATATTCTACAGTATAATATAGGAGACATTCTATTTTATATATCACACATGTTTCTATGTTTGGATTTTTGAATTAATCTCAATAGTCGGCCACAATGTCTTGAACCCGTGGCTAAATGAGGTTATGGAGAGTTCCCAAATATAAATAACAAGTACACTTTTGATCTAGACTTTTCATGCAGTTTTGAAACACCGAATTTAATCTAAAAAACAAATCAAATGAAGCTGTTTGAATGTTTCGTTATGAAACAAACTTCTTTTAGGGTTGAAATCTATTGACCCATCTATTTTGGATTTATCTCTGGTATACAAAGAATCGACCAGCGACGTTCCCATTCTGATCCTCGCAGTCTCAGGAACTGATCCAACCACAGAAGTCAGAGATTTAGCCAAAGCTTGTCTACAACAATACACCGAGGTGAGCATGTCAACTGCATTATTGAAATCCTTATGCTTTGCTAGGAAAGGCGTACGGTGTGTCACAAGAATCAATTTCATGGCCTCTCATGTAACTACCTTTCAGGTGGCGATGGGTGAAGGCCAGGAAACGAAAGCTTTGTCAGCGCTGAAGAAGTGTTCAGATTCGGGTACTTGGTTGATCCTGAAAAACTTGCACCTAGTCACGTATTGGTTGCCTGTTTTAACTCAGAACCTCAAAAGTGCTGGTGCCAACTCTAAATTCCGGTGAGTAATTTCAATATTCGTGAGATCCCTCAAAAACTGTACTCTCCTCAAGGCTGTGGTTGATTTCGGAGCCTTCCTCAAACTTCAACTTTGTCTTGGCGCAAAACAGCCTGAAGGTAGTTTACGAAACGTCGCAAGGGATCAAAAGTAACCTCTTGCGGAGCTACAGCACCTTCGGCAGCGAGTACGTAGAAAAACTGAATCAGAACTCTGCTAGGGTTCTCTTTGTGTTGGCATGTCTCCACGCACTGCTTCAAGAACGTAGAAAATACATCCCCCAAGGTAAGTCGGAGCGTGCAGCAGCCAAACTACCCAACGTCATACTCACGTTTCAGGTTGGTCGAAATACTACGACTTCAGCGATACCGATCTCTCTACCAGCGTGAAGCTGATTGAGGATTTGTGGCACAATCAGGGGGCGCAGATTCAGTGGAATTTCGTCCGCGGTTTAACATCAGACGCTGTTTACGGTGGTAGGATCGAGAACCTAGACGACATGGAGATTGTGAGATCGTACGCGGAGAAGTACTTCGCTGATGAGGTTCTCAGCCACAAATGGAAACCTTTTGGACTTGAAGTGACCTTGCCGAGTGCAGCACAGTTTGAGGTAAGACAAACCATCCAGGGTAGTTGAAATCATCAATGCAGAGCCATCTTGGTTTAGCGGTGTTTCGTGAGCTCTTTCGGCGATAGTTTCATCTAGGCCCATCTATCAGAGTTTTACATGATCTTGATCTGTTAACCAATCAATCAGCTGACATATCTTAATTCTAGGAATATGTTAAGGGAATAAAGCAGCTACCAAATATAGACGCACCCTCAGCTTTTGGACTTGCTCAAAATATTGGGAGAGCTTGGGAAAAACAGACTTCATCGAAACTGATATCTGAACTCAAAAGTGTGTAAAACTCAACACCAATAATTGTAGTATCCAACAACTCTATTCGTCTTCTTTTTTAGATTTCTACTTGTCCAAAAACATTTCGAACGCCTTCAACCAAGACGTTTTCCAAAAAGGTCTCGCGCCCTTTATGAACGTTTGGAAAAAACTGAATCAAGGTCACGACTTCATCAGGATGACGAGCGAGAGGAAAGTTGAAAGCAGCTCTGTAGTGGAAACCTTCATAAATGAAGAATTCGACAATGCTCTTTTACTTCTTCAGATGATACACAAATGTTTCGGGACTCTCAAGAAAATTTATAAGGGTGTTGTGGTTCCCGATGGCCAGGATCTGGAAATTGGTAACTCTCTTTTGAACTACGAGGTGAGTTTTGCCAAGGTACCGAATGCAGTTTCATTTTTCAACATTGAGTGATAAGGGTCGTAGAATCGTACTATAGAGTATCGCTATTTCAATATGTAACTACCACAGAATTAATCAGTGGTGTTACCATTGAATTATGTCTCAACTAATTCACAACTTCTAGACTCCGAAGCTATGGCTGACTTTTTGGAACGGGCCTAAGGAGCCGATACAGTACTTACGCAACGCCATGAATAAAATTATCGGTTTATCTAAATGGAAGAACGAAAAAGTCAAAGAACTGCTCCAGAAGCCCTTTAGTCTATCTACTCTGTTCCACCCTGATGCTTTTCTGGCCTCTCATAAGCAGGATTTTTCTCGGTAAGTAACCTTTATTTCAGTTTGAAGTAAGTCTGAGATATTGAAAACGTACAGGGAAATTATGAATGTTTGATGTGGGGAATAAGCAAGCCCAACCGTAAAAAAAGGTATCATCAACTGTGGAACAAAATCAAAATCTTTATTTTCCTATTCTGGGTAGAAAACTAGTGAAAATATATGTACATGTCGCTCTCCCGTATGTGAGAGTTAGGGGTGGGAAAGAAAGGAAGATATGTATACAAGGAGGGATAGCTGGGGGAGGACTGTACTGTTTAGCCTAAGAAGACAACAAAAAACGCGCTACCACAGACCCACGACTGGACAGAGGGAGGCGCCCCCGCTGGTGTTGGCGGGTGGTTAAGTTGTCTGGAACCTTATGGAAAAAGTTCATGAAAAAACCAGCTATGGCATGAATTATCTCATCTAATTCTTCCATGAACTAATCGCGATCACATTCGCGCCACTCATGAAAATTACCAATGAATCATAGATCAACACGTGTTTACGGGGCTGATTATGATAGCTTCCAAGCGCCATGACGTCTCGTCTGTGGGCTTTTCGGCAGGAAGAACTTGAAGAATGTCTGAAACAGTCTCCTGATATGTTCATTGGTCGTCTCAACTTCAGCCAGATCTAACAGATCAACCAGTGAAATGTATCTGTCACTTTTCGTGCAAATACGGAGCACCAAATTTTACATCGTCTCGAGTATCTGTAAAGGAGTTCTCTTGAGAGTGCAGAATAGGGGATAGACTACATTTGTTCGAGTTGGATCCCACACAATTTGTCAATCGCTCAAAAAAAAAAGGCTCGTGTCGATTGGACGAAGAAAATGCTCAAAAAATACGATCGTGGTGCTTCGAAACACGTCTATGACATCGTGACAGGTGATGAACCGTGGATTTACGCGTATGAGCCCTAAAGTAAACAGCAGTTGATTGTATGGGTATTTTGAGATGAGCCAAATCCAAGAAAAGTTGTTCGGCACGAAGCACTCGCAAGCAAATGGTGACCTGTTTTTTCGGAAAAACTGGACATATCGCAACCGTATCACTAGAATAACACAGAACAGTCAATTCTGAGTGGTACAACCATTTGTTTGCCAGTTGTCTTCCAAGAAATCAGGAAAACCATCCCCCGAAGACGGATCATTCTTCACCACGACAATGCGAGCTCTCACGCATTGGCTCAAACAACTGCATTTTTGAGCACCCAAAACATCGATTTGATTTGATCGAAGTATATAGATCTTCATGGGGAATATTTTGAAAAACAATAAAGTGATTTTCGATTATTGATATTTGTTTTGGTTCTCTAATCCCGAAATATAAAAGGCAACCCTCGTATACCCACATTTCTTCGCGAGAACATGGGAAAGTTGTGCGTGTACAATGAGTACAGGTGCGGTGATAAGCAGGACCCCTCGAAACACCCGATTTCATTCGGTAATGTGCAGATGTAGTTTGGTCCACTCTCACCCGAAAAGTTCGGTTGCTCAGGTAGGATTCAAGATTCCTAATCACGTATAAGGCGACATTTTAGCGACAAACCCTTCCGTACGTACCTTGTCAAATGGTTTCTGAATGTCCAGCAGAACCATAAGTGTATTCTTTTCCTGATAGAAAGACTCCTCTGTCCGGTGAACAACTCGGATAGATTGCGAGGTCGTGTTTCATCCTCGCCGGAATTAGAGTTGCTCCTCTGACATAAGTTCCATCTTCTCCTCCAGCCGAACAAGTCTAGTTAGCAAAACTTTATCGACGACCAATCAGGTATCTGTGGAACAGCATTATGTTAGACTTATTTAGCTTATTATTTCACTATAACCTCTCATTTTCTATTGATATGTCCCATTTTTAGGTCAGGAAAAGTGCCTATGGATGAACTATTGCTTCGAACCAGTTGGAGATCCAAACACGATTCGGTAATTTTAACGGATTTGCTCGTTGAAGGGGGTATTTTTGAAAACGGGGCT